GTCTACTAAACTGGCTTTTACTTTTAAAAACTGTCCATGTCATGAAGAACATATTCTAGATGAAAGAAGCCTAGACAGATTGACATCAGGCTAAATGCAATGCCTTATCTGTGCATGGATTTCTAGACGGTAAAAAAAAAGTTACATAAGAGGGAATATTGATAACAGAGTATTAGGAAATAATACTGCATGGGCTGGGCATGGTGGCTCACCCCTGTAATCCTACCACTCGGGGAGGCTGAGGCAACTGGATTGCCTGAGCTCAGGACTTCAAGACCAGCCTGAGCAAAGCAAGACCCATCTCTAAAAATAGCTGGGCATTGTGGTGGGCACCTGTAGGCTGAGGTAAGACAAGCACTAGCTCTTATTTCCCCCCCTCTTCTCTCCATACTTTTGTACCATACTTTTGAGCCCAAGAGTTTGAGGTGACTATGAGCAATAATGCCATGGCACTCAACCCCAGAGACTGAGTGAGACTCTGCCTCAAAAAATTAAAAAAAAAAACAAGGGTGGCACCTGTGGCTCAGGGAGTGGGGCACTGGCCCAATATACCAAAGATGGTGGGTTTGAACTGGGCCCCAGCCAGATTGCAATGGAAAAATAGCCGGGTGTTGTGGCGAGCACCCATAATCCCAGCTACTCGGGAGGCTGAGACAGGAGAATTGCCTAAGCCCAGGAGTTGGAGGTTGCTGTGAGCTGTGATGCCTCAGAACTCTACTGACGGTGAGAAAGTGAGACTCTGTCTCTTAAAAAAAAAAAAAAAAACCCAAGCAAATGAAAAAAAAAGCTGCACTGATGTTAAATTTGAGCGTGAAAGCTGTATCATGGTTATAGAGGAAAATACTCCTTTTCTTTAGAAATAATGTTGCAGTATTTAGGGGTGACAGGTTGCTATGTCACAACTAACCTTCAAATGGTTCAGGAAAAAACAATTTGTAGAAAACAGTAAACACTGCAAAATATATCTGTATCCAGGAGAAGGATAAACACAAGTTCACTGTATTATTCTTGCAACTTTTTAAATTGGTTTTGAAGTAGATGGATTTGAAAACAGTGAGATAAGAAGCAGCAATGTAGCCAGAAGAAAATGAAGTAAAAGACTGTGAGAATTTATGGAGGTTTGTGCCATGTTCTTAAGCAAGACTATGTTGAAAATGTTCTTAAAGAACAAAGAGTTTAGACCAAAGCTGTAGCCAGGAGAGCACTTTATATCAACTGGCCACACAGAAAATATAAATAAAGAAACAAAAGCAAAAAAAAAAAAAATCCAAAAAACCTTATTTTACAATAAAGTTATAAGTTCATGAGAGTAGGAAAGTGTATGGTAACTTTGTTTGTAACCTCAAGTATTTGGTACCCAACAGGAAATTAAGCCAGCACCAGCTCTCACCTACCATGAAGAAGGGTGAGCATTATACTGTAGATGAAGAGACAAACCAGGGCAGTGCCTATGGCTCAGTGAGTAGGGCACCGGCCCCATATACCAAGGGTGACGGGTTTGAACCTGGCCCTGGCCAAACTGCAACAAAAAAATAGGTGTTGTGGTCCCAGCTACTTGGGAGGCCGAGACAAGAGAAATCGCCTAAGACCAAGAGCTGGAGGTTGCTGTGAGTTGTGATGCCACTGCACTCTACTCAGGGCAACAAAGTTAAGAGTCTTGTCTCTTAAAAAAGAAGAAAAGAAACAAACCAGGGAATACAATTGCTTTTACCTTTCTTTTTTCTTCTTGACAGTCTCACTTTTTCACCCTCAGTAGAGTGCTATTGCGTCATAGCTCACAGCAATCTCAAACTCTTGGGCTCAAGCAATTCTCTTGCCTCAGCTTCCCAAGTAGTTGGGACTATTATTTTTTGTTGTTGTAGTTGTTATTGTTGTTTAGCAGGCCTGGGCTGGGTTTGAACCCTCCAGCCCCAGTGTATGTGGTTGGTGCCCTAACCACTGAGCTACGAGTGGCAAGCTTGCTTTTACTTTTCTTTGACAAAGTAGTTCACCATAAACCACAAATTTCCCTTGAAAAATACTGGGCGACTGTGACATCAGTAAAATATTTCATGTATAATTATAACACAGGAAAACCAAATTACAGAAGTCTGAGAAAAACTCTTAAGATGAACACGCATACTGTAAAGACTATTGCTATTTTTATAAATCCAATTACCTTTGACAGCTTCTTTTATTACTGTAACAAACTGAAGCCAAAGCACATCGGGATCAATTTCAACCCAGCCAGGTTGAGGATAAAGAGTTTCTACCTATTCAGGAAAAGGGAAGATTTAGTAAAAACATTAGATCACGTCAATAACATCTGGGTCTTAAGACTGTTGGTTAAAACAATTAACCACATGATTACATTTACTGTCACATTAATTTTTATTGTTGGCTCGGCACCTGTGGCTCAAGAGGCTAAGGCGCCAGCCACATACACTGAGCTGGAGGGTTTGAATCCAGCCCGGGCCCGCCAAACAACAATGACGGCTACAACCAAAAAATAGCCAGGCGTTGTGGCAGGCACCTATAGTCCCAGCTACTTGGGAGGCAGAGGCAGGAGAATCGCTTGAGCCGAGGAGTTGGGGGTTGCTGTGAGCTGTGACAGGGCGACAGCTTGAGGCTCTGTCTCAAAAAAAAAAAAAAAAAAAAATTTTATTGTTAAAACTGGAAAAATAGGCTCAGCACCTGTAGCTCAACGGCTACATACACCAGAGCTGGTGGGTTCAAATCCATCCCGGGCCAACTACAACCAAAAACAAAAAAACAACAACTGGAAAAATTGATACAATATACGAAATAAAAAAGTATCATATGTCAACACCAAAATAGCATGGTTCATGAATTCACAAAAGCTTTTAGTTAGCTTCCCTTATTTTACCTTTACTTTCCAAGTTTTCTATAATGAAGATGTGTTTTGCAATTGGAAGTTAGACTTCTAAAAAATTAAAAATAAATTTTTAAAAATTGAATTCTAGTTCACCTTTCCTGCTAAATACAAACCTAAAAACTGGGCAGAATGCATGGAGCTACTATTTATGATTCTAATGTAAGAGGCAGGTGTGCTGGCTCATGTGTGTAATCCTAGGATTTGGGGTGACCAAGGAGAGAGGATCACTTGAGACCAGCCTGGGCAACATAACCAGACCCAGTCTCTAAAAAAACAGAAAGAAAGAAAATTGTCTAGGTGTGTGGTGGTGTGGTACAAGCCCGTAGTGCCAAGCTACTCAGGAAACTGAGGCAGAAGAATTACTTGAGCCCAAGAATTCGAGGTTGCAGTGAGCTATGATTGTACCATTGCACTCCAGCCTGAGTGGCAGGGACCCAACCCCACACCTATGGTAACAGATGGACTGGAGAAGATGAAAGGAATTCAGGTACCACCGTACTGGTGCTGAGTTTCTCTTTTTGTTCTGACATCCCCTAGCCTAGATTCAAGGCATTTTGAAAACCAGAACTGGGTCCCAAGGCACAAAGGAAGTCCCAGGAGAAGCTCTATTGTTGTGGCTGGGAGAACAGGAGCGAGAATTCCTGACACCTGGAGAGAATGGGAGAGGTCATCGTTTTTCTTATTTTTCCCACCTCTGGTCTCCATACTTTTGTACCCATGCTATCCCCAAATGTAGCAGTAATAGTTATATCAGTGGGCTTCAACAAGCACCTAAAATACTGTAGGAGGTAAAACTTCCTCTCCCAGCAGAAGGAGCTGTGGTCCCCAGTTGGTGAAGTCAACACCACAGCTTTTTTCTTCCTCTGTGTTCCTGCTGCCTATCTCCAGATGTGTCTAGCAGAACAGGGTTAACAAAAGTCCCAGCTTTCTGGCCAGGACCAAAAGGGGAGGCTCAGGGAATCCAAAAGTACCAGGAACTTTTCAGAGAGGAAGTAAATTAGAAAAGATACCACAGACAGCTGTATGTGAATTCCTAATCTCATCCAAAACTGTGCTTGTTGTGAACATAATCCCAAACAGCATGCCAAAGATGTTAAGCACAGAACGAAGGGGTAGGTCATGATCATGGCCCAGGTCCCAGCTGGACCACCGCTGGGTTGCACAAATACACAGGGCAGATTTGAATAGTACTGCCAAGACTTTGAAAACAGACTGACACTGAAACCACAGTCCACAGAAGGCTAAATCTGGAACGGCACCCAACTGCAATGACTGCCTACTAAAAGAAAAACATTCACGTTCTTCATAGGATTTATATAAGACTCAGAGTCATTTAACATTCAAAACATGCAGGATATAATCCAAACTACAAGTTATATGAAGAACCCGAAAAATCTTAACTCACATTAGGAAAGATAACCAATAGATATCAATGCCATCACATGGATATCTGATGAAAATATTCTGAGAATGAGAGTGAACACCCTTGAAAGGAAAGAAAGTCTCAGCGAAGGTTAACAGCAGTAATCACTTCACTATACGTGTCTATCAAGGTAAGTAAACAAACCAACCCGCTGTATGCTTTAAATGCTGGGAGGGCAAGGTGGGAGGATCATTTGAGGCCAGAAGTTCAAGACTAACTTGAACAACATAGTGTGACCCTGTCTCTACAAAAAATTTTAAAAACTAGCCAGCATCGTGAGGCACACCTGTAGTCTTAGCAACTCAGAAGGCTGAGCCAGGAGGCAGAAAGATGACTTGAGCCCGGGAATTTGAGGTTGCAGTGAGCTATGATCAGACCATCGTTCTCTAGCCTGGGTAACAGAGCAAGACTCTGTCTCAAAAAGAAAGGAAAGAAAAAAAAAAAACTATAAAGAAAGAAAGTCTCAGCAAGTAAAGAAACAGAAGACATAAAAAAGAAAATTTTAGGCTCGGTGCCTGTGGCTCAAGTGGCTAATGCGCCAGCCACATACACCTGAGTTGGCAGGTTCGAATCCAGCCCAGGCTGCCAAACAACAATGACAACTGCAACAGAAAAATAGCCGGGTGTTGTGGTGGGCACCTGTAGTCCCAGCTACTTGGGAGGCAGAGGCAGGAGAATCGCTTAAGCTCAGGAGTCAGAGGTTGCTGTGAGCTGTGATGCCCCAGCTCTACCCAGGGTGACAGCGTGAGGCTCTATCTTAAAAAAAAAAAAAGAA